CCTACCCATTTATTCCTAAGCACATAGGAGGATGAAATGAAGCCAACTCCCCAGGTCCCTAATATGAAATCAATCTTACAAGCCTGATACAAGGAATTCTGGGGCCCACAAATACCACCCTACTTTTTCCAATTCACAATGGTTCCATCCAAATGCAGCAGTGATACAGTATCTCTTCCCTTCTTCCCTTCCTTCCTTCCTCCCTCCCTACCTCCCTGCCTTCCTTCTTTCTTTCTTTTTAAGTAGGCTCCACACCCAATGTGGATCCCAATGTGGGGTTTGAACCCATGAACCTGAAATCAAGACCCAAGCCAAGATCAAGAGTTGGACGCTTAACCAACTGAGCCACCCAGGCGCCCATCTCTTTCTTTCTGATGGTGACTAATCATTTCTAACTTCTCAATTTCAAAATTAAATTCAAACAAAAATCCTCCAGTTATTCCCCTTCCCGTGAAAACACAGCCAACCACAATAAAAAGAACTTCATCCCTTCTCTGGCCAATATGCTTTTCGGTTAAGCAGGTGGCATTGAGACATCTGGACAGCAACTAATCCGTTGCCCCTCTCCTGACATCAGTGGGTTTTAGCTACAGGATGTGTAGGAATAGGAGCGTGAACGTGGTGACTCAAGGTTCGCATCACTAACAGAAAGCAGAGCCATCAGCCATCTGACACTTAGATACTCCTACAGAAAATGCACACAGCCCTAAGCACCTGCACTCAATTTTAGCAGAATGATTTACGCTCTTCCCCACCCAGTGAATCCAGTAGGATAAAGAGTGGAACACCATATGCTCAAGCTTTCAAACCCCTAAATTAGGATGGCTGGAGACAGGTCCCTAAAAAGTCACATGAGAAGGAGTAATGGCTATGAAGCCTTTTCTTCTCATGCATAAGGATAAATGAAAAGTTGAAAAGAATTATAGCTGTACTTAACCTTGTTCTTTCTCATGGGTCATTATTAGCATGTTCTCATTTAGAATTCACAGAACGTCTTGTAGTCCAGGAACATCAAATCTCTCATTACCCTTCACCACATGCCTGAGGTCAGACAGAATTTCCATTTCACAGACAGAAAAATTAGGGCAAAAGAAAATCAAGATGATCCCCAAGCAACACTGTCTATCAGAAAAAAAAAAAAAAAAAAACCCAATGGACCAAATACTCTGCCTCCAGGAAGAAAACAAATATGTCTAATTTCTGCAATGACCACACACACACACACACACACACACACACACACAATCATTTTATGTCACTCAGTTACCAGGAAAGCCACACTGGTGTATTTCTATTTCTCTTTTCTGATTTAGAGGAATCAATCTGGATGAAGACTAGATCACCTTCCCACATGGAATTCCATGGCAACCAACTAATGCTTTACATTCTGGCCAAACATGAATATGACAGGCCTCTACTTCTCTTGTGCCCCAGGACAGCACTGGTGGGCTCACGGGACCTCTTGAGAACAGCTACAAGTGGTCCCTCTCTCTTTTAAATATGAGAATTGCTCATGTAAAAAAAAAAACACATTGAAAAATACCTCTTAATTTCTGTTACCATAAGGGAGGAGAAGCAGAAGCTGTTGTTTCTTTTTTTTAAAAGATTTTATTTATTTATTTGAGAGACAGAGAGAGAGAGAGCATGAGAGCAGGGTGCGGGGCAGAGAGAGAAGCAGATTCCCCGCCGAGCAGGGAGCCCGACGCGGGGCTTGATCCGGGGACTCTGGGATCATGACCTGAGCCGAAGGCAGACGCCCCACCAAATGAGCCACCCAGATGCCCCAGAAACTGTTGTTTCTGACAACAAATTTCAAATCCACACAGGTTGCCTAACTGTGCAGAGCTTGGTCAACAGGCCCAGTTGTCCTCTAAACACTGGTATATCAATGGACTGTTTCTATTTTTAAAACAACAAACCGAGGAGACAAAAATCAAAGCACCAGCAGCAACAAGTAGCATCTGAAGAACAAATTTACACCAGGAAACCAGAGCATGATTAACCAGGAGGCACCCTAGCAACCGGGAAAGTAAGCAGCCGAGGAGATGTCAATAAAGAGAAGTCCAGAAATGGATGACAAAAATAACACTGAAGACTCCCCTGCAGCAACTTTTAAACTGAATTTACTTAAACACGGTAAGAACCTAAGACAAGCAAAGACATCCTACAACAGTGGTTTTCAATGCTCATGATGATTAAAATAATATTTACTTCCATGGGACCAAGCCTGCAAAAGCTTCAAGCAAGGAACAGCACGGTTGCTCCCCAACCTCAGGCACCCCACGGAGAGAGGGCGGTCTATCTGCTGTTAACAGGAATCCCCAGGAATGAGTGTATGCCAAGCATTCTGGATGCGTAAAAAACAGAGCTTCGAATGGCCTTTCCATGGTACACACAAGCATATATGTTCATGGAGTTAGCAAACATCTGTGGGCACTTGAGATGAGTGAGACGTGCACTGTGATCGATGTTCTGGTCAGCACACCTGCCATGGAGCCTATTGGCAAGGAGTGGGGTACAGTTGATAACCCACGTTCACTTGACAACGAGAATTCTAACAGGAAAACAGCAGACTTAACGAAGCTAGAGAGCGAGAACAACATTACTATGGGCTACTCTTGTTCCTATATGATGTTTAAAGAATGAATTTATATTTTCCCTTTACTCTTCCTCTGGGACACTAAGAGGTGTGGCCATTCTCCATCTGAAGGGATGGATGACAAACCAAGCCCTGAGGTTTAAGTCTAAAGTCCAGGAGCAAGTACATGGCAGAAGACATGCTTGAAAAATCACATCTCCCCAAACTCTAGCTGCTTATGGTTTGTTTAAGAGACATGCAAAACGGGGTTTGGAATGCACAGCACACTCATATGTGGTAAATGATTTAAATATTTTTTAAAAGGAAGAAAATAAAGCTGGAAGCTGAAGAGCTTCTTCATTTTCTCAAAATGATAAGAGTTTGAAAGGAAAGTATAGGTTAGTGAGCAAAGTACGTGCAGTGAGAGCTATGGGTGGTTCACTTGAGCTGAGCTCACAACATAAGACTGGAAGCTGAAATGGTGCCATGAATTCAAGGCGAAGGAGGTTGGCCTTTCTTTGGCAGGAACTTTATTTTTTCATTTATGGGCTCTTGGGGTTGTTTTTGTTTAATTTTGGGAACCACTTCGAAGCCATTAAGTGACATGATCCAAAAGTTCCTCCTGCGGCAGTGTCTAAGAAAGAACAGAAAGGAGGAACAGAAGGGAAGGACTGCAGCTGTCCAGTCAAAACCAGGAGAACGTTCCAAGCACTGTGGCAGAGACTGGAGAGGGGCTAGATGGGGAGGACGGGGGGAAAGGAGGCCCCAAACACAAAAACAATCCCAGTGTTGTGAGGTCGGGTGACTCAGACGGAAACACCGAACACAGGAAGATTAGGTTTGGGAGGGGAGGGAAGCCACTTGGAAACTGCACCTCTGAGACCTCCAGTCCATTTGACAGGAGCTGGGGGTGTGAAGCTAAAGCTCTGGAGAGAACACAGGCCTGGCAAACTCCTTCAGGGGGAACAGCTACAGAATGAGACCAGACAAAACTAGCAAAACAAGACGAGGCCAACAAAAATATTCTTTGGGGATGACACAAACTGAACAAGCTAAAGGCTCCCTAACAGCCTTTTCCAACTCTGGCTAACACTTCAGATGCCTGACTAAAAGCTCCGCGATAGGCTCACACACCCCAGGGCATCTCTCCTGGGTCCTCCTTCAGCCTGCTGTCCAGAGCCCTCAGATAGCAGCTGGGCTCTTATACTTTCTGTGCCTCAACTGAAGCTTTAGTGTACCTGTGTCACCCCTTGAAATGCACCACTCTTGATGGACCATCTGCCAAACTTTCACTTTTCCCTTAGAGACATCCCTCAGACCAGCCCTGGCTCAGGTCTGAGCAGTCAACGGGGCCATCCACCCCAAGGACTCTGCTGGTCCCGGGGAGCACTCCCACACCTGGACACAGAGGGTCGTTTCTTAAAATCTACTCTTAAATCTATTTAAAACAACTTTAAGGCATCCGCAAAATGCACTTCATACACAATGTTTCAGAAAAGGCAATGGCTGGAACATAACATTCAGAGTTACTTCAGCCAGGCATGATGAGATACCATCTCTGACCCATATTTCTCTGCCAGTTTTATTTCAGAGCATACAACTCAGTTCAGATCAGCTTTCCCTGTAGCTATTAACCATAAAAAGGGGCAGGGGGAGAGAACCTTCCTTTATAAATCAGTGACTACATAAATATTTTTAATTATAAATATTTAATATAATTCTAAAACCAAACGAAACCAAACCAGAGGTTAAATTTCGTTAGATTTCACGCCATAACGAAATCAGTATTTACAAATAAATAAAAATCTGGATAAATAAACAAATACACTCACACGTACATACCATTTAAAGAATCTAAAACCAAGAATGTAAAGTTTTTCAGGTAATCATTAATATAATTTACTTAACATAAGGTAAATTACAAGAGGGGCCAGGGTCTTTTTATAAGGAAAAGACTGACATCCCACAGATACTCAAGATAACCATTAAATTTGTAAATAAAATCAGATTTAAAAAGATAACCATTAAAAACAAATTTTGGTTTTTCTTTTGTCATTTCAAACTGCTTAAAAACAACTGCTCCTCTTCTATGAAATGTCCAAAGGAAAGATCCTCAAGGCTATTTCACCTCTCCAGGGTTCGAGCTCCATCATGATCCCCTCCCCTACTCTGACCTTCTTTAAGAAAAGCTGATAAATGCAAAAATGAAATCATTCAAGTGTCACACTGTTTCCACAAACACATAACAGCAAGCCGGAGATACCCAAAAGGCAAAATGCAGCCATCTGAGGAATCGCTAACCAGATAATCTCTGAACAACACATCCTGAGTGTGTGGCAATCTTTTTCCTATGTTTCTGTGGGTCTCATTTCCCTGGGTGGGGAGCAGCCTTTGCTGGATCACAAAGGCTAGTGGCGCTTACCTTTTTGGCTCTTTGGGCTATGTCTGGGGTTCTTGTAAGCAGCTTCTCAATTAGGTACTCTCTGTTCTGCAAAACAAATGTTCCCAACAGTTGACACCAAATATCATATGCAGAAATTCAGTGATTTCAAAATAGCAGATTTACGTGGGTTTTTAAGCATCTTACCTTGGCTTTCTGGAAGAATTTGCATTTTAAAAGTTCTGCAGCTGTGGGCCTGAAAGATCAATAATAAATTAGAGTTGAAACAATGATCACTGAATAAATACAGTGCCTTGACGAAACAACCACGTCCCAGAGTATTTCTGGAAAACCAGTTTCAGGAATAGCAACACCAGAAACTAAATTAATCATAAGCGGGCACCAAATAAAACAGGGCTGATTTTCCAGTTCTTTCCAAATACCCCTACTGCAAAACACATAAACTCCCATAAGTTAAATATCTGGGGCATGATCAATTTTCTGCCCTTCATCCTTACACCTCACTAAGTGAATTCAGTCTTTCTGAAAGGTGGCAGACTGACACATCTGTGAGCTAAATCCCTGTATTTATTAAGAAGCCGTGCAAGCTGCAATATGACCCTGTCAAAGAAATTATAGTCTACAGAGTTCTATGATTCCCCAAGAGCAGCAGTTATTGCAAGGGGTTCACATCCTGTGGACCAGCTCTGTCTGCCCACTGAGGGACCCCAGCTCAAGTGTATATGCCCTCCCAGTTGTCAGGGGAAGGTAAACACAGTGGTGATTAGTAAAATGCAAACTCATTTAAAAGCATTACTGGACTGGTCTGATGGTCTCCTCATGGTGTCATTTAACTTGTTTCTCTATCCTGTATTTCCTATAGACTGAAAGTTAGGTCTAAAAATTTGACATGAAGCATGTGGGGGGAAGAATACTCCACAAATGACGCCATGCACTAGTCCCCACAGCATGTCAGGGGCACATGATGTTAGGTTACCTCACTGGGAGTGATGCCAAGTTTAACCAAGGATCCCCAGGCCTGAGTCCTCACCATTGTCAAGGTATGTTTTCCCCAATGCACTTGGCAGGTGTTCTGTTGGGTAACACTTTGGCTCTGGATGAGTATTCTATTCCCTAACGGTTTTAGCATCTTTGTCTTAACTATTTATTTCATAGCAGGTGGCAGAATGCTGATTTTCTACTTCTATCATTCCTTCTATGTTTATTAGCTAGCATTCTTCCATAAAGAATAGCTTCCTTCCTCAATAGTTCCTTCTAAAACAAGCAGCCAAGCAGATAGAATCAGAGACATCTACAGTATAAGATAATCAGCAAGACAACCGTACTGATCTCTTCAAAAAGTCAGTGTCAAAAAAAAAAAAAAAGTCAGTGTCATAGAGGAAAAGGAGAGAAGTAAGAGAACTTTTCCAGATTAAAAGAGACTTAAAAAAATAAAACCAAATGCCACATGTGACTCTTGCCTAAATCCTCCATTTGAAGGGGAAGGGGGAGAAGCTACAAAAGACATTTGGAAATCATTAGAGATATGTGAATATGCCACGTATTAAGGCAATTTTAGGGAATCACTGTTTACTTTCTTAGGTGTGGAAGAGTATTATGGTTATATAGGAACATGTTTTTATTTGTAGGGAACGCAAGCTGAAGTATTAAGTCTGTTACTCACTTTCAAGTTGTTCAGCAAATAAAATGAAGATAAACAGATACAGCAGATATGGAAAATGTTCATAATTGTTGCATCTGTGTGGTGCTATAGAAGTAAATGCTGTACTATTTTTTACCCCTTTCATGTATTTAAATTTTTTCATAATAAAAAAATTGGGGAGGGGCTCTTGGGTGGCTCAGCCGGTTAAGCATCTGCCTTCAGCTCAGGTCATGATCCCAGGGTCCTGGGATCGAGCCCCATGTCGGGCTCCCTGCTCAGTGGGGAGCCTGCTTCTCCCTCTCTCTCTGCCTGCCGCTCTGCCTACTTGTGCTCTCTCTCTCTCTCTAATAAATAAATAAAGTCTTTAAAAAAATGAAAAAATAAAAAAATAAGAAAATTGGGGAGGCGAAAGGGAAGCATTACAGAACATCAGGACGTATTCTCTCAGGGGATGATTACCAGAGGTACAAACAGTATTAGGTTGAAAAGGATGCAAGTTTAAAAAGGAGTCCTCAGACTTGAAAGGACTGGAAACCACTGCTTGGGAACCAGGAAGCTCCAGTAAAATGCGTCCAGGGACCGAACCCACGCATGCAGAAGAAATTAGGAAACGTCTGTAAGAGCATCGCTGTCGAAACCGTGTAAGTCTACAGGAGCCGTAAACTGTCTCTCTGTGCAAAGAAGTCTTCTACTGAAATTGTTATTGCTCTTTTCCTCAGCTTCAAGTGGAATGCTGGTTAGAGGTACCTGACAAAGAACCCGGAATCAGCATATCCCCTGCAATAAACAGCTGTTAATTGCTAATTCCTCTGAGTACATAAAGGTCTAAACAACAGGTGGGCCACCAGTTACATTTTGTGTGCCATATCCCCTCAGGGAGCTTGTTCAAATTCATGGATTTGTACCTCGTTGAACAGGCACACTAGAACCAAAAATGTTGCTGCTATTTCACATGATTTAACTTAGTTGTTATTTTAATGTACACTCGTACTGATCATCGGCAATGTTTTTGGCCTCCAGCTACTCCAAATTCATCCTCGTTCCCTCTGTAAATATTCAGGAAGCATCCACTCTTTGTCAGGCATGATGCTGGGTGCTAGGCATCCCGCAGTGAATGCGACAGACGCTAACGCTCCCTCTGGCAACTTGAATCTAGCAGATAGGCGTTAGCGTGTCTGGTTAGGCTCGAAGAGGCACAGCAGACATTCAAATGCTGGAATGGAGCTCCAGGCGGAGGGGAGGGCCGCAGAGGAAACACACAGGGCAACCATGCCACGCTCTACCGAGTGAGACTTGCTGTTGTATTTGGAACCTCATTAACATGAAACAAAATTTTAAAAATCAAGAGGCATACAAAGTAACTTAGATTTAACTTTTTTAAGTGAAAAGGAACCTAAGAAAATCAAGATGATTAAGGGACTCAATCAAGGCCACTGATTCAGTCGAAACCTTCATGGCCTTTGGTCAATTCAGTTACAACAGCCGCCCCACCCCCCACCCCCGCCACCAGTCTCTCTGCTATGTCTCTCTTCTTCATTCTAACCCATCACCCACCTTGCTCCAGAGCTGGTTTCTATAAAAACCCGATTCTTATCCATCCTAACAGATTTCAGTGGCCAGAGAGATGCTGGCTCCTCCATCCGCGTTTCCCATCGTGCCCCTCGTGAACTCTGTCCCCTGGCTATGCTGGTACTCCTCCCTCTCGTGCTCTTTCATGACAAGGCACACAGTGCTTTTCTTCAGAAATCTTTGTAACTGACTGTCACAGCCTTGCTCATCAGTCAAGAGCCAATTTAAATGTCATCGTCTTCAGAGATACTTTGCTCAGCTCCCACAAGTAGAATTCATTGCTCCCTACTCAGTGCTCACACACCACTACCCACACTCCTATTCTGTAATTATCTGTGCCTGTGTCTTCCCACCTTGACCCCACTAGGTTATAAGCCCTTTCAAGACAGGGACCACAGAGGATTCATTTTTTATGTCCTCAATGTCCAACACAGACCAGAAAACCGTTATAGCTCAATGTCCATACCATAATCAAATATGGGGTAGAAGTGATGCTCCCAGACACTCAGACACAGAACCACAACTCTTAGAGCCAAATCTAGTCAACACCAAATTCTAAGCATCTGTTCAAGGTAGTAGGGAACAGGAGAACGATGTAATGAAATAAGACTCATGCTAACAAAAAAAAAAGCAGGGGGAGTAAGTCGTGCACAGTGGAGGTCCTTAAGTGGACAGCCCCATGCTTCCCTCACTCCTCTGCACCCTGCTTCCTCCTTCCACACACTAAGGGGCAGGTGTAGGGCCAACACAGAGAAGAGGCTGGGAAATGCCAGACATACCTCGAGATACAGGGCTGGGAAAATACCTTCCCTTCCCCAGCAAGGTCATTTCTATGGTGACCAAAACTGTAAAGGGGAAAGCATGCTGTAGAGAAAACTCCTTTCTCTGCACTCTCCATTCTTAGCCTTCATCAATAAATACGATCACCTGAGAAATGAGAAATGGCTTAAAGGAGCCACATTCCTTCTTGTATAGGCTCAACATTTATGTTAATAGGCCATACAGGTCATACAAAATAAAAGGTCTATCCCACACACAGAAGAACTAAACAGCAGATCCTCTGTGCACTCAAATGACCTCAAGCGTCTAGAGCTTTGGAGGCAGAATCACACAAGTTGCCGAGCAATCTCCATCAGGAAGTATGGGAAAGTGGAACTGGAAAGAATGAGGAAAATGAGGGAGGAAGAAAGTGATAGCAGGCATGAGAGAAGTGGAGGTGCATGCTGCCTAACTGACTTTAGGGTTTTTGTGCTCTGTTCGCTTGCTTGTTTGTTTTAGCTTTACCCTATAGCAACCACTAGTACAGGGTTAATATGGAACTCTCGATGCTGCCGGCCTCTTAGCTGAGCACCACAGAAGAGAAAGAATTCTGCAAGCAGTTACGTCTTACATGGCTGCTAACAATTTTCAAATAATGCAACATAACATAAATACAGACACTGTTGTTCACAAGAAAAGCTAAAATCCTATACACCAGCAACCCAAATAATGGTACAGGCTATGAATGACGATTCCACTTTAAATCCTTAAAAACAGCCCCCCCCCCAGTCCCTGCTCAGCAGGGAGCCTGCTTCTCCCTCTCCCTCTGCCTGCAGCTTCCCCTGCTTGTGCCCTCTCTCTCTCTGTCAAATAAATAAATCTTAAAAAAAAAAAAATCCTTAAAAACAATGCAGTAGTCTGCAAGTACCAACATTCTCAGAAGAAAATCTCTTAAAGGATTCAGTTAATACATATGGATGAATCAAAGTCCACTGAGACTTCAAATAATTTTCAAAGGATTCAGGATGAACACGATACAGCTTAAGTAGTTCTAACAACCTGCATTATAATTTCTAAAATCTCACTGACCTCAGGCAGAGCTGCATCTCTCACCCTCCCCTCCCCCCAAAAGAAATATTCAAGTTTTATTCACTTCTAATGAATTTATCTATGTGATATGCACCCTCCTGTTGCTCGAAGAAAATGCTGGTTCCTTTTACAGCTGCCATCCATAGGAAGTACATAATCTACAGGATTAGGCTCATTTTTTAAGAAATAGCAAAATGTTCTGCTATGCAAATATAAGCACCTCTTAGTCTGTGCCAATGCAGAGCACAGACTTGTCTGAGGCAAATAGCTCCAACACCCCAGCTCTCTTTAATTAGGAAAGTTCCATGAGCTCTCAGGTTGACAGAAAACACAGCTCCTCCTCAGGCAACCTGAGGGCTCCAGCACAGGACTGAATCTGTCCCGGTCACTGTTCACCTGTGATGTTTCTATTCGTTGCTAAAAAGGTACTCAGCTAGACCAGGGTTTTGGTACCTGTCAGCTGCTTTCAGATTACAAGTAGATGATCAATATGCGAAATAAATAAAAATTATCAAAAATCTTGCATTTACTCCTCAACCCACTTGAATCTGGTTTGTTTCTGAAACACTCTTCAGTGAGTCCAAATCATCCCCAAATTGCAAGCTCCCAATGGTCTCCAGTTGCTCAAGAAATATCAAATATGTAATACAGACCCAACACTGTGGATAGAAATCGGAGGGGGAGACGAACCATGAGAGACTATGGACTCTGAGAAAAAAACTGGGGGTTCTGGAGGGGAGGGGGGTGGGAGGATGGAATGTGTTAGCCTGGTGATGGGTATTAAAGAGGGCACGTACTGAATGGAGCACTGGGTGTTATACGCAAACAATGAATCATGGAACACTACATCAAAAACTAATGATGTAATGTATGGAGATTAACATAACCTAAAAAAATAAAATTAAAAAAAAGAAAGACATAAAGATGAATGACACAGGTTCTTCTTCTAAAAAACTTACAAACGTATGAGGAAATTGGATGTGTAAGTCAATAAATGCATAGGGTGAAAGTGCTGTAAGAGACAGACCTCAACATACTGTAGGAAAACTAAGGGTTGTAATAATTCCACTCGGTTAGGAAGAAAAAGGCAAATAGTGAACAGCAATCCCAATTCGCTGAATACTTAGGAACCCCTAGGCACTGTGCTATCCTCTTTTTTTTAAGATTTATTTATTTTTAGAGAGAGAGAGAGAGGGCACATGCAAGCAGGGGGAGGGGGAAAGGGAGAGAGAATTTCAAGCAGACTCCCTGCCGAGCCTGGAGCCCAACATGGGGCTTGATCCCACCACCCTGAGATCATGACCTAAGCCAAAACCAAGAGCCAGACGTTTAACTCACTGAGCCACCCACGCATCCCCGTGCTATCCTCTTTCAGTGCGTGATTGTATTCCATCCTCATGACAATCCTATGAAGTAGGTGTTATTAGGCCCATTTTACAGACAAGGAAACTAAGTCATGTAGATGAGGCTAGGAATCTCACCCAGATTTATCTAACGCTAAGAAGATTAATGCTTTCAAGTAAGCATTAAAAGAGGGCGGAAGGGCAACAGAGGAAGAGAAAGAACCTTTGAACAATATGAGCAAAGACAGAGAAGACAGGAAATATTCATGGTTTCTTTCAGATTTGGGTAGTAATTAAATGTTTACTTATTTAGTAATGAATACATATTTTAAAACTGCATCCTATATAATAAATTCAATATTGGTCTTTTTTCCCATTCTCATATTTCATGAACTTTTTTCCTCAAAAGAAGACATACAAGTGGCCAATAGACACATGATAAGATGCTCAATATCATTCATCATCATAGAAATGCAAATCAAAACCACAATGAAAGAGACACCTGGCTGGCTCAGTCAGAAGAACATGCGACTCTTGATCGCAGGATTGTGAGTTCGAGCCCCACGTTGTGGGACAGTTTACTTAAAAAAATTAATTTAATTTAATTAAAAAAAAACACAAAGAAGTATCACCTTATACCTGTCAGAATGGCTAGTCAAAAAGATAAACAAATGTTGGCGAGGATGTGGAGAAAAAGGAACCCTCATGCACTGTTAGTGGGAATGCAAATTGGTGAAGCCACTGTGGAAAACAGTATGGAAGTTCCTCCAAAAATTAAAATTAGAACTACCATATGATCCAGTGATTCCACCACTGGGTATTTACCTAAAGAAAACACTAATCCAAAAAGATAGATGCATACCCCTATGTTTATTGCAGCATTATTTACCACAGCCGAGATAGGGAAGCAACTCAAGTGTCCATTGATAGATGAATGGATAAAGAAGATGTGGTATATATATACAATGGAATATTACTCAGTCATAAAAAGGAATGAGATTTTCCCATTTGCAACAACATGGATGGACCTAGAGGATATAACGCTAAGTGAAATAAGTCAGAGAATGACAAATATCGTATGATTTCACTCATATGTGGAATTTAAGAAACAAAACAGACTCTTAAATATGGAGAACAAACCAGTGGTTGCCAGAGGGAAGGTGGGTGGGGGATGGGTGAAATAGGTGATGCAGATTAAGAGTACACTTATCGTGATGAGCAATGAATATAGAGTTTTTGAATCCTTATATTGTACACCTGAAACTAATATAACACCGTATGTTAATTATACTTCAATTTTTAAAAAAGAGTCCCCAAGAATTTGGTGCACCACTAATACTCTCTGTTTGTTATAGAAGACAATTGCACAATAGTGAGATTAGATTATGTTATAATGAAAACACCTAAAAGAAGTCCTTAAACTATTAATATTTTGTAAATCAGTAAGTTACTAAGAGAGCACTCTGAGGGGAAGACTTCGTAAGAATTCAAATATATGGTGCAAGACTCTTTTTGAGAATTTTTTTTTTTTAGGGGCGGTAGGGTGGTAGGAACCTGACATTTGAGCTCATATAATAAATAATTCCTGGGAAGACTTTCAAGGTTATTAAGAAATAAGGACGGTTTGTTAAATATAATGTATGCTAATCTAATTTATTCTAATTTACAAATTCCTAAAGAAATCTACTGTTGTGTATCAGTACACCAGCAATTCTACCCTACAGTATCCTTTTCCAGAAGGGCTAGAAATATGTGACATTACACATCATCACCACTAGGTGGAATCTCAACTAGTTTGTGAATCACAAAGACCATCAGCTGTAACCCAGTGCTAACTGGGAAGACAGGTACCTCTCTCATTGGGCTCTGGAGGATCGAATTATTTCCTTGGTGATGCCAAAAATTTATGTTTGGAGACGACACCAAATACAAACGTAAGACAAACAAGTGTTGCAGAACAAAATGAGAATCTAAGAGCATTTTCACCCAACAGGAGTGTGAAGAAGTAACCTCAATGAAAGATCGGTATAACTTCGGAAGAAAAACAAGCCCCACAAATCAAATAGAAAAGGCAACTAAGATGTTTAAGCAGAAACAGCCTAATGGTGTGACAAAACAATGATCCCTTTTACAATATATAATTTCAGGATGCTTGATAGCAAACAGTCTTTCGACCTAGCTCCATGAGAATGGTGACTGATATAGAGAAGACTCAAAGCAAAGTCAGTAAAATGTAAAGGAATGACGAGAGTAGCTACAAAGAATGGGGTAAAATAATGGAAACTCTGTTTAATCTAGAGAATGGCTGCCTACTCAAACAGCAGATTACTGTGTAAAGAGAAAAGGCTTAAGTTTCATAAAGGATTTAAGAAGACGGGAATCCCTCCAAAAGCAGGGTCCTTCCCTGAAAAGGAAAGCTTCAGAAGAGAAAGCCAGCTTTTTACGTTTTCAAAAGTAAGTATCAGATCGAACCCTTGGGCGCATGAGGTGGCCAGTGACTCCCCAGTGGCCTCTCCAGATAGGTGGTCTATGCTGATGGTATACCAGGGCCGCACCACACACAACCAAGCTCGACAAAGGGACTCTACCCGGGCAAGGCCTGTGTGGCTCACGTCATTAACATTCGTCTTTAAGCAATACAAGACACGGGGCTATATTATCACTAGCTGGGGTATTTCAAAGTCACAGATATTAAGAAGGAAGAAACAAACTCAGAAAACAGACACACTACAGAGCAGGGCAACAACCCAAGAATAAAGAGGAACCGCTAACGTTAATTTCAAACCATTTGCTTCTGTTTATATGATTAATGTTTCTAATGCAAAAATCTTAATCTTCTTTACTGATAATCTTTTAAACAGCACAACTTGTTCTGCAACTAAAAGGAAGCTCATGCAAAATTCAATAGCTCTGCCTGGTTTAGACTGGAGCTAGCAGGATATTCAAATCCTGAGAGGTCAGCTCAACCTACACAGTGAAGAATATTAGCTCAGTTTCTGAGTGCACCGCTGCCAATTTCTTTTGATTTGTTTTATTTCATTTCCTTCGATGACAGAGCCCATACCTAACAAACACAGTGAATCTCATTAACACTGAAAATTTTCCTCTGCCTCTCCCTCATGCTCACTCCTCTCCCTCTCGGACCCATGCTGTCTTCCACTAACAGGTTGGAAACCAGGGGCCAGAGCAGGATTTCCCTTGAACTAGAAGTACCTTCCAGGTGTCCTCACACAGCCTTTTCCCAGCCACAAACAAAGCTTTGTCGTGATTCAAACCAGGTCATTAACTCATCCACAAAGTTCGACATACCTTTTAGAAGGATCTTTCTGAAGACACAGGGAGAGTAATTTCCTAAAGGACTTGCCGTACTTCTTCATCATTTCCTTATCCTCTATTCCTGTTTCTAAAGTGGGTGGATCGTTTTGCAAAGTCAACATTAACACCTGCAGCAGAAACAAACACCAAGACAGAATCTGAGTACAGCCTCTGCCCTAGTCGAGTTCTCAATGTTTCACAGAAGCGTTAGGGACCATCCTTGAGGAGGAGGTGCTTTCCCATGATTTTAACCTTCCAGAAAGTGTGTATTCAAAGTACTCATTTCCTTTCGCGAATCTGTTCACGTGCCCTTTCACCTTTTTGTTATTCCATTGACAGAACTTACAAAATCTGTTGTGTGTGTGTGAAGAACGAGGTCCCAAAGCGGCCGGGACAGAACTTCTGGGAACTGGCTCCCACACAGCCTCCGGGAGCACGTAGCTCCAGCAAAGGCTTAGCGGAGGCTGGGAAAGGGGAGGGGGCGGGGGGCGGCCAGAGCAGCAGTGAGCACTCATGTGTACAGGTCATTCATAAGTAAGGAACCGCCCGTACTCAAGGCTTCTGTTAACACACTGCCAACCCTAAAAATAAATCCACAATATCCCAGAAGGTAACACATGATTTCCTTTTTTTTTTTTTTTTTTAAAGAGAAAACCTATAGAATATTGCTTAAAGGCTTGGCAAAATTCAGGCAGTAAGAACGCTTAAAGTTAGCCAGAATACAAGTTCCTAAAAACCATAACCAGAGCAAAAGGCCACGCTGCTCCTGGAGGGGGGATAAAACAAAACCAAAATACAGCTTCAAACCAAAAAGGTAAAAATTCCATTCATTCACAACATCAGAATTATTTGTTCAAAAAAAAAAAGAGAATCTGTAGTAAACTATTGACCTATAAAAGGAATAACCCTCATTAATGCATAAATCAGCCTTAATTTATGCAAACGTTATACATGCCAAGACTCCTTTCAAACACTTTCAGAAGTGTGAAAGGATGAAGGATTAAAGTGACAGTTTATTGTTTGTGGAGGATAAGAGCAAACAGAAGAAAGTGGGCAAGCTGTGAAGTCCCAATAGAGCCCCACAGGACGTTGGGCTGGGGTTAGCAATGGGACTTTGGATTCGGATGGGTGGGACACACGAAGGAGTGGGGAATGAAAGAAAACAAGAAGTAAGAAAAAATAATGCAGAAAAACCGGATGGAAGGGAAAATCCTGAGTTGCTTCAGTGCTTTTTCTCTACAAGGTCAGTTCAACTGTTTACACCTCAACTTTGAATTTTCTGCTAACAAAATAGGTATATATACACACCCCCCTAATCTTAAGTATGTTAAAAATATGTACATAAATACAGAGAGAAAAGAACAATGTAATGAACTACGCTAAGACCTTAACAGGGATTTTCTGTGATTGATGAAATTATGAATGATTTATTTCCTTCTTTATTCTTATTTGGACTTCCAAATTTTCCCTCATAAGAACATATTAACTTTTTATTCAGTAAAATTATTGAACTTTGTTTATCCTCAGGTTTTTCTTAATCCTCCTATATTTTTCCAGTATTTTCCTAGGAAAAAGTTGAAACAAAGACAGACTGTATTCTCTGTAAAATACCTTCATCATTTCCACCAGCTATTTCAGTCCCCAAACAAAATCTAATTGGGTCCATCAGCCCTGATACCACCATCTCAGAATAAGTGAAATAATAATGTAGGCCAGTTAAAAGAATCACAAAAATCTGAAAACACCATCCAAATGTAGGTTATTGCCTAAAAACACTGGGCTCCCTTATTTCAGATGAGTCACCAACATGACACAGTGAGCACAGGGGTGAAATGTCACAGATCATTTAAAAAAAAATGGGGGAAATCCATCTGCAAAGATGATGTCGCTGTAATCTATTTTTAGATTTTCCTTGGGGGTCTGGGGTCTTCGGCTATCAAAAGAGTAGTGACCAGCATTTGTCCCGGTTCTCAACCTCCACTGGCCAAAGTGATTGCAGTCTTCAGACAGCTCTCTGCTAAGAATGTAAAGCGAGCTTCAAAGCCGGGAACTGGACCACTTTTGAGCTATTCTGTCCACATCCGACCACATTTAACTTGGCTGCATTCCTCCATTAATTCGCCTCAGGTCTAAGAGAAAAATGACTATGTTTAAGAGAATTACAGAACAGATTCCATTAAATCCTATTTCAAGCCAGACATATTATTTCCAATAGTAATTACTTTCATAGGAGGGTATTTGTGATAAGGCGCTGCTCCTGTTGCTAATTCAATGGCAGTTATCCCAAAACTCCACATGTCAGCCTTGAAGTCATAGCCTCTCACCTAAGAACAGAAGGAGGAAAAAACACAATTACACAGTAGGCAGGTCACCCGCCCGGAAGTCCATATCATGTTGGAGGTCTACAGCAGGGATGCACAACTCTGATAGTACTTTGCTAAGGCCCACCAATCGGGAACTAAATCTTAGTTATATGATGCATTCTAGTAAAATGATTGACTTGAATGAAATGTTAATGTATTTAGTGATACAAAGCATCTTTTTTTTTTTTTTTTTTTTTTTTTACCTGTTCCATGACTTCAGGGGCCATCCAACACGGAGTACCAACAAATGTTTTTCTTACTTTATTCCGGGTAACATCACCCCCTGTTGCTAAGAATGCACTTACCCCAAAATCTAAAAGAAAAAAAAAATCACCCTTATTTTATGTAAGACATTATTGCTTACACATTCTGACTTTATAAACCTCTCTTTTCCTGGGGACCTTTCCAGTGATGATGAATTGTTCCAAACACCATGAAGCTCTCTCGGGGATACACCAAGGCAGTCCCGCCACCCGCCAACCTACACTTTAGAGAACACCATCATGGGTGATGGGTCAGCAACCCCACCAGTCCAGAAACTCAGCACACCAAATTATATGTTCTACCAAAAAGGTATCAGAAATCATAACTAACCATAAATTATTAATTCAATAAAAATGAAAACACATTCTCAGAGCCCTAAATATAAAGGATCTTAGCTTTTTGCTAAGATTCATTTCAACAAATCATTTCTAAGAATAGCACCGCGGGGGGGGGGGGAAATAGCACGGGAAGCAGTAAAACCAGTATGTGATGTAGTTTCTTTTTATGTGTTTCTTTTGTTATGATTATTTTCCAGCTTCTTTAATTCCACATCATCAATGTTTGGGGAGTGGATTTTTTTTAAAGGTGGCTTGGGGGAGGGTGAAATAGAGGGGATTAAGACTACACTTATGGTGATGAGCACTGAGTAATGTATGGAATTGCTTAATCATTATATTGTACACCTGAAACTAATATAACCTTGTATGTTAATTATAATTCAATAAAAAGATTTAAATAAAGGATAATAACATTCATCTTCCACATTCTCATGGCCTTGCTTAAACAGTGCTGACACCTTAGGCAAAATCGTAATAACAAATCCACGAACCCAGGTACCTAAAGCCAACTGCCCAGGTTTGTACAGATGTAGCAATCAACACAAGGGAAAAGCTCAGTCAGCAAAGACTTTTTTTTTCCAACGTTTGCTTTTTGGATAATTTTCTTAAGTATAGATACAATGGTTTGTAGAATGAAATAATACTCTTCTTAACATCTATTATATACTAGAAATTCTTTTTGCAGGATGATGAATTAGGCATACTCTATATACATACACACATGTATTTATGCAAAAATGATGTTCGTTTGTGACCACAGAGAAGGAATACCCGGTGATTATTAATGCATGCATTTCTGCGTAGATTTTTACTAAAAGTTGAAGTTAGTTAATAAGTACCAGCTACTCAAGGCTAATACAGACCTACAAGCTAGAGCCAACTCAAGGACAGCTCAATAATAAGCCGGTAAATGGTAATTTAAAAAAGCAGTCAACACCTCAAAATGCTGCAGCCAACTATGTACCCTGAGCCCCTTCAAATTCCTCTCCTAGAATTCTTCTTTGCTGGTCCCCTTTGATGACTTGCCAGGATGACAGCAATTACCAAAGAACAACATCAAGCACAAGCCAAGGTCAAAATGTATTAGCATTTGCTTTAGGCCTTCAATACTGTGATGCGGTAACACTGTAACCAGTTCCCGGAGTTGAAATATATTGACTGTTTCATTTTATTTACATTTACATTTACTCAACTCCCAACAGGATTTCAACTACAAGTAAAAGGAATAAAAATTGACAAATGTAGTCTTTGTTCCAACTGCTCCTCTCATGTTAATATTGAGCAAAAGCATATTCTGAAAATGCTAATTTAATTTGCACATATGTGCCAAACTCTAAAACTCTTTGAATTCTTATATTTCTGAGGGAAAAATGAAGCCTTGTGAAAAGAAATCTCTAGAACCAGTGAACCAGTGTCCTGTGGGTAGGAGCAAATAAAATTCATGTTCTTACAGAAGAACTAGGTGAATTAAATTATTTGTAAGCATCTACTATATTTGGCTAGAGGAAAAGATAACATGATCGGCTTTGAAAAATATTAATTTCAACTTAACTTATATTTCTGAAAAGTTCAACAATGAACCCAACATTCCATTTCTATTAAAATAATTTTGTAACAAGGGTGCCTGTGTGGCTCAGTCAGTTAAGCATCTGCCTTTGGTTCGGGTCATGATCCCAGGGTCCTGGGCTCCGCACTGGGCTCCCTGCTCAGTGGGGAGTCTGCTTCTCCTGATCCCTCTGGCCCCTCGCCCTGCTCGTGCTCTCTCTCTCTCAAATAAATAAAATCTTTAAAAAAATTTTTTATAACAAAATCCTAAGTACGTATCATCTGTAAATAAGTAAGAATATGAGTAGAAGTTGCTCTAAGGAAAAACAGATTTTTTTTAATGCAGTTGAAGCAACTCTACACCCCAGTCTCTCCTAAAAGATATAATCAGAAAAAAATCCATAGTTAACATTAAATTTAATTCCTTAAAAATACCATATGATTACATTAGACCTTTTTAGAGATGCAAAAACAGCTGAAAAGAGTTGTATAGTAGCAATTTATTATGGACAATACCCCTTCAATATATCCTTCATGATTCACATATTTATTCATAGCCTCCACTTAGAACACTCACTTTAAAGCCATAAACAGATGCTTAAATGTCTTTAAAGCTCAGAACAAAAATTCTAGAAGCAGAAAATACCAATCCTAACATCTACTCACGCTTATGACTCGAGTACATACATAAGTGGCTCCTATGGATTGCCAATGTGTATACATAAAGATTTCTATGTACTGAGAGACGACACTTTGACCGAAGTACATAGGGTACGTGTGTAAAAAGGAAAATTGCTCTATTCTGTCCAGACAGCGTGCATAGGATGGTGAGAACGAGGGCGGGGAGGGGCAGAGCCACTGAAAAGAGTCCTTATTTGCTAAGAGGGACGTCTATACTGCCGAAGGGAGTGCAACAAGATACACTTGGGTCAGAAACCATAAACGTCTGTCTGGCAATATGGAATCAAAGGCTCCACATAGAGTTAGCCAGTCCATCTTCCTGCCTCCGGGAATAGCTGCATCTCAGACCAGAAAGAATGCTGTCAGCGTAGGAACTGAAAGGCTCCCCTCACATCTTTTGAATCCACCCACTTAGTGGCAGCCTCCTAAACCCCCACCTTCCTCCGGCTTTCTCCAGGACCATGCCCTGGCAACCAGGCCTTCCTCGGTCACACACCTGACTTCTCCCTCAGAGGGCCTTAAAGGCCTTCTCCTCCCCAGAATAAAGTCAAAATCCCTCAGCACAACATGCAAATCTGACTCCCCTTTTTCCCTCTCCCGCCTCAGTTGCCCCTACTCCCAAATTCAGACCTTGAGCCTCCCCCTGCTGAAGGACTCACTGGTTATCCCCAAGATCCATCATCAGCCCTGCCGTCCAACTGGCCCCTCACAGTCTGCCTGTGCACCCAATGCTCTGTCGTCGTCCAGGTACGCTATTCCCCCCGCTAAGCGTAGCACGGTCAGGAGAGGCCGTTCTGCACATCCCGATTAAGAACAGCAGCATCCTTGACATCCTGACTCTTGGTGCCTTGGGGCTTTTTCACGGCTGCCTCTATGTTAGGGTGTGGTTAGTCTGATGTGCATCCAACACCTTTGCCTCATTTGTGGTACGTGATTAAGTCACTCTGGGAATAGTCTTATTTGTATATACGTGGATGTTGAGCCCCCGGGCAGACCTGCAGGGTTTGCGGTATTAGCCACCTGCTGTGGAGAGTGGGCGGACCCTCCAGGAAAGAGCATGGTCCTCACCGGCAGGGGCCATGCTGCTCCGCCAACCACTTAACCGGGGCTTCTGGGCCTTCCTACCAGCTTTCTCAGTTCTGCTAATTTTATATTACGTTCATATGGCTAACACTCTCCTGCTTCTTTTCCCCATGTATAAATCTGCTTTCCAACAAATGTGAGGTCGATCGATAAGCCACTATTCTCTGCCTTTGAAGTGGGGTGAGGGTTAAGCATGAACATTTTTACAGTGGTAGATATAAAATATGAGAAAAATAGGTTTCCTGGCTTTAAGCCTTGACCAGCAAGGAGAGGGAGACCAGGAAACAATGAACAGAGCTACTCTGTGCTGTCTGTGTAGATAGGGGAACTACGGGCTGTCATAGTCATGACAGGGGCCTCGGACCACCTGGCCTTCGAGAAGAGGTTAAGACCTGGATAGGCAAGCCTAAAAGGACATGGCATTCCAGACAGAGAAACAGCCTGAGCAAAGCACAAGTGTTGAGCCAAGAAGAAAAAGTGTGTGACAGTTGCAAGGGTCGAACAGGCTCAAATACCTAGAGGGGCCAGGCAGGAATAAGGCGGGGGAGGGGGTCCTGCACAGCAGCAGCCCAATCTCAACCATTAAAGGGCACTTGATACTTAGTGTCAGCACAGGGGGACGCTAGGCAGTGCTGGGCCCTCCCCAGGAGCCCATTCTCAGTGCAGGCTGCTTCTAGTCCACTGGAAAAGAAAATCACCAAAGAGGAATAGGGCCTGGCGTGGCCGATGTCCCCATTTTCCCAGAGCAAGCCAAATACCAAGATCTTTACGTAAAACCTCTCTTTTCTGTTATTGTTGGCAACAGATTCGCTTAAAAAAAAAAAAAAATTGGAAAAGCAAAATAGAGCAATTATGCCTCCCTGGTTTAGCCTGCAAAACGAATCTGCTAAGCTGCTATGAGGCCTAAAATTTACTGAAGGTACTTTAACATACATCATATGCAGTATTATATTCGTGAGACCCAAGTGGTCAACTGGCATTCTGACTCAGAGTGCCCAGGGCCGGAAGGTTCTGGTCGCATTTGATTAAGGATGCCGGAAGCAGCTGCTAAAAGTATTTCTGCTATCTGTAAGTGTAAATAAGTATGAGCCAGGTGAAGGCCCAAAAGGGACTATTATTGGAGAATAATAATGCCAGTCACCTGTTGGCAGGCATGATGCATGTGAGAAATAAGCCTTCTCAGATGAAAGTAAAGGTAGCGCACAGAGAATGGCTAAAATATTTATTTTAGCTAACCTCGCCACTCTTGCATGAACAAAAAGAATCCAGCCAGGCCCAGGAGTAAGCTAAGTCCCTCCCCAGTTCCAGGTCTAGCTTGATTCTACACGCCAAGTATACATGTACGAGAAAATTGCATCTGGAATTTTTTGCCAAAATTCGTCTGCTTCACGTGGATTTTTCA